CACGCTCCTCCCCCCCAGCGGAGCCCCCGCCGCGCGCCCTCCTCTCTCTTCCAGCTCGGGGCCTCAGCTTCTCACTGCTCTCTCTATCTCTCCATCTCTCCTTTCATCTCTGTTTCTCACTCCCGGGCCATCTCCCTCTGTGTGTCTGTCCCCAGTATATAGCTCTCTGACTCCAGTTAGATTTAATCACGACTCTCCATACCTCTCCTTGTTTTTTTCTGTCTGGCTTGGTCTCTCTGTCTTGGATTTGTTTAGAACTTGGGTTGGGGGCTAGGGGTGCCATCCCAGGCCCCATCTTTCACACCCAAGACTCCTGGAGAATGAGGAGAGTTGTCTTTCTGCTTGCTGTGGTCCTTCCTGTAGTCTAACCCGCTTCCCTCCTACTGCTGGCACCCCACAGACCTTCTCCTCCCACTGTGTGGCTTCCCCAGGCTGGGACACCCTCTCTGTCCCCCGCCCCCACCTGAGCTTCCAGCTGTGGCTTCAGGAGGCAGAGAACAGGAGGCTAATTAGCTTTTAAGGAAACACATCCTTCTGACGAGCAGGCGCTAATTAGAGGCGCTGTAGAGCAGCCAGGCTGGAGGTGCGGCCCAGGCAGGATCAACACAGGGATGCAGGGAGAGATGCTGAGAGACGGGTAATGGGGAGAGAATGTGAGAGAGAGAGAGAACAAGACAGACACAGAGAGGACAGAGAAAGGGATAGCGACAAGGAGAGTCAGAGACGGAGAGAGGGACAGGACAGAGAGAACATTAGAGACAAGGGCAAAAAGCCCGTTGCCATCAATTCCAACCCATAGTGACCCCATGTGACAGAGTAGAGCTGCCCCATAGAGTTGTCTAGGTTTTAATCTTGACAGGAACAGTTTGCCAGGTCTTTCTCCTGCAGAGCTGCTGGGTGGGTTCGAACCGCTGACCTTTCAGTTAGCAGCTGAGCTCTTTAACCACTGCACCACCAGGGCTCCTTGACAGAGGCAAAAGGAGGAGGAAACTGAGAGGCGGAGATACACAGAGAGAAGGAGAGACAGAGAGAGTGAGATCCTGAGAGTGAGGAAGACTAAAAGGGAGAGAGATGCGGGGAGAGAGAGAAACGTGGACGGAGAGAAACTCAGTGAGACCCAGGGAGGAGATCCCCATGATGCTACAGAAAGAAAAGAGTGTGAGTCAGCAAGAGACGTGGAGAGACAGTAGGGGCCTGGAGGATGAGAGAGAGACTGGATCTGAACTAAGATCCAGAGGCCGCGATGGGCGGCAGAGTGGGGTTTCCAGGTAAAACAAGGAGGGCAGGGCGTGAGGGTGACAGAATGTCAGGGCCGTAGAGGAAGTCGGCTTCCTTTCATCTCAGGAAATCCTGCCCTTGTCTAGCTCGAGTCCCTCGTGCTGTCTGTCCCCTGCCGGTTGAGTTTCTCCTCCTGTGTCCCGCTAGGGCAACCCTGCCAGGGAGCCTGTTGATGCGCGTGTCAGTCACTGCCTGTCAGTGGGTCCCAGCGTGTGTGCAAGAGCATGTGCGTCAGAGGTGTGTGTTTCACCCTGTCAGCGTGTCATCCTGCTGGTGGCTGTCTGCGTCTGTCAGGGTGGGCGAGGCTTCTCTCTCAGGAGACCCTCTGGGTCACTGCTGTATTTCAGCACCGAGGACAGCTCCTAGCCCACTCCTGAGGGCGGGGGTGGCTGTTTTTTACACCCACCGAAAATTTAAAATATCCTGGAACCAGGAGGGGGCGAGGGTGGAGGCGAGCATGTGGCCTCACATGACCATCCTGTGTTTACACAGGTGTCACTGTGTCCCATGCATGTTTGTGTGTTGAGACGTGTCTGTTGAACGACTGTGAGATTGTGTTGACTTTGGTTATTCCGTTCTCATGGGTATAGACACTGAGAGACAGAGGCAAAGAGAGAAACACATATAAGGCAGACAAACAAGGAGAGACTGAGACAGAGTCAGAGACACAGAGAGACCACTGGGGAATGAGAGACACAGTCAGGTGGGAGAGACAGAGAGAGGCTAAGAGGTAGGCAGAGAGAACAGAAGCCTGAAAGAGAGGTCGAGACACAGTGAGGGACACGCTGTTGTTGTTGGTTGCTGCCCAGTTGATTCCGACTCATAGCGACCCCATGTGACAGAGTAGAACTGCCCCACAGGGTTTCCTAGGCTGTAATCTTTATGGGAGCAGATCGCCAGGTCTTTCTCCCTTGGAGCCGCTGGTGGGTTTGAACTGCCAACCTTTCACTTAACTGTTGCGCCACCAGGGCTCCTTAGAGAGAGACATGGAAGGAGATAAACAGACGCCAAGAGTCCTAAAGAGTGAGATACAAGGAGAAGGAGGTCTCGATAATACCACGGGGGGCTCTGGGGGTTGGGGGTGTCGCTGAGGCTGGGACGAGTGTGTTGCGCTAACAGTGGGCATCTGGGCTGTGCGATTTTGCCACTGCATGTGGAATGGCTGTGGGGTGTGATGGTGCGGGGGCTGTGCAGTTGGCTGTGCTTCCTCTATCGGGTGACTGTGTGGGCTGGGTGTTTGCGTTTCTGGGTTCTGGGGCCAGGCCTTGTGGGACCACATGGTATCTACAACTGGGACAGATGCTGGTGGCAGAGCTGTTGACATTCTGGGGTTGTGGGTCTTTGTGATTGCTGGGGGCGGGGGTGGTGGTGGTGCAGAATTATGTGCCTGAAGGATAAGGGTAACTTCTGGCTGTGCCTCCCCTGCCAGCCTCTGGTTACCATGGCAGCAGGGATGCTGACAAAATCAATTAGCAGTCAGTTAACCCTCCCAGTGGGATTGGGACAGAGGGCAGGAAGCTGAGGGTCTCCTGGGCGGAAGGATTCAAATCCACAGATATTCACTGAGGGCATACGATATGCCAGGCCCTGTGCTAAGTGCTGGCGATACAGCAAAGAACAAACACAAAGATCACTGCCCTGGGGGAACTTGCATTTAATGCAGAGAGGCAAATAGCAAACAATGTAGGGAATAAATAACTATGTTAGTGTGTTTGAAGATGATATGGGAAAAAAGGACACAGAGAAGCGTAAAGGGGCCAGGAGTGCTGGAGTAGTGGGCAGGGACAGACTAGTATTAAATAAGGCGGTTGGAGTGGGCCTCAGTGAGAAGGTGAAGTTTGAGCAAAGAACTAAAGGAAGTGGGGGAAGAGTGTTCTAAGCAGAGGGAACAGCCAGTGCAAAGGCCCTGAGGTCAGCATGGACCTAGCTGAGAAGGTGAAGTTTGAGCAAAGAACTAAAGGAAGTGGGGGAAGAGTGTTCTAAGCAGAGGGAACAGCCAGTGCAAAGGCCTGGAGGCACGACTGGGCCAGTGTGACTAGTGAAGGGAGCGAGGGGAAGGGAGTTGGAGGACAGGGAGGGAACAAGGGCCAGATCACAGGTGGCCCTGGACTTTGGCTTTTACTGTGGGTGAGATGGGAGCCATGCAAAGGTTTTGAGCAGAGGAAGGACCCAGTCTGACTTAAGTTTTATTGGGATCCCTCAGGCTGCTGTTTGGAGAACAGACTGTGGACAGTGAGGGCTGATGCATGGAGATTGTTTAGGAGGCAATTGTGGAGGCCCTGGGTGGCGCAAATGGTTAAACGCTGGGCTACTAACCAAAAGTTTGGTGGTTCAAACCCACCCAGAGGTACCTCGGAAGAAAGGCCCGCTTCTGAAAAGTGATAGCCATGAAAACCCTATGGAGCCCAGATCTACTGTGAAACATGCGGTTGCCATGAGTTGGAATTGACTTGACAGCAACCGGTTGGTTGGCTGGCAACAGTCTGGGCTGGGAATGATGGTGGCTGGCATTGTGGAGATGGAGGCGTGGTGATGAATCTGGGGGAGAGGTTCAGACTGCATTCTAACAGATAGAAATTCAAATCCTCTCTGATCTGTCAGCTCAAGTTGCCTCACTTTACCTCAGCATCCTCACCTGTTTCTGTCAAATGGGGATAATAATAGAATCTCCCTCCTAGGGTCCCTGTAAGGATTAAATGACATCATGGGTGTTAAGTACCACACAGAACCTGGGAGAGAGCAGGCACTCAAGAAAACCAAAAAACCAAATCAAACCTGTTGCTATCGAGTCAACTCCAACTCATGGCGACTCCACGTGTGTCAGAGTAGAACTGTGCTCCATAGGGTTTTCAATGGCTTGCTTTTTAGGAGATCACCAGGCCTTTCTTCCAAGGTACCTCTGGGTGGATTCGAACCACCAGCCTTTTGATTAGCAGCTGAATGCTTAACCGTTTGTGCCACCCAGGGACTCCAGTGCTCAAGCAGCTGAGTGTCTAATAGGAGAGTTATCTGGCGAATCAGGGAGGGGGCCTTACGCTGGGTATTCTCCCCTTCACCCTCACCCCAGGAAAACTCTTCAGGTGAAGATAGTTGATGACGAGGAATATGAGAAAAAGGATAATTTCTTCATCGAGCTGGGCCAGCCCCAGTGGCTAAAGCGAGGGATTTCAGGTGAGGGGGCATGGGTGGGCTGTGGGAGAGGTAAGAGGTCCAGAGGTCCAGGGTTGGGGGTCCCCTGGGGACTCAATTATGGGGGCTCCTTCAAGCTCATGGACTGGAGCACCCCAGGGAAGTGATCTCACTTTCTCCCTGTCTCTGTCTCTCCCCAGCTCTGCTACTCAATCAAGGTGAGTAAAGTCACTTTCTCTGGGGTTTGGCTGGGGAGGAGCCACCGGAGGGGGAAACTGGAGTGGGGAGGGTCAGAGCCTCAAGCTACCCTTCCAGGTTGGGTTTGATGCAAGTTGGAGATGAGATAAGGGTAGATTTGGGGCTGGGTGAGGGCTGGAGCAAGCCTTAGAGTTAGAGGTGGGACCAGTGTGAAGTTGGGGTCACAGTTAGGGGTAGGGTCAGATTTGGGGTTTGGAAACCAGAGTTAAGTTTGAAGTCAAGGTTAGGGGAAAAGGTAAGTCATAGAATCAGATCTGGGCTTATGGTGGATTCAGAGGGAATCAGGCTTAGGACTGATTAGGACTGGGTGTTTAGGATTAGGGTTAGGACTGGGTCAAGGTTAGAGTCTAGATGGATTTGTGGTGGGATCAGATTAGAATTTAGAATCATATTTAGCTTAAACTGAAGTTGGAGTTTGAGGTGAGAGAGTTTGAGGGGGTAGTGGTTAGAATTAGGGCCAGGGTCAGAGATTGGAGTAAGAGTTGGAGTTAAGATCAGGCTTGGAGATAGCAACAGCATAGTTTTGAGGTCAAGATCAGAATTGGGGTTTGGAGTCATGATTAAGGTTGGAATAAAGATTGTATTAGTTAGGGTAATTAATACCAGCTGCTGTAACAAACAGACCATCCCCCCACCCCCCAAATCCCAGTAGCTTAACACAGTAAACGCTATTTCTTGCTCAGGCAAAGTTTTATGAGAGTGTTCCTAGTTGGTGGGTGGTTTCTTCCATGCGATTACTCCATCTTTGGCTCTGCCATCCCCTGGAGTGTTGGCATTCTTACTGGAGCCTCTGCATCCCGCAGGTAACCAGGGCAAGAGAGTGTGGAGGTTCACATGGGAGGCTTTTATGGGCCAAGACTGGAAGTACCGGTCTTCACTGCTGCCCTCTTTCTATTGGCCATACTTGGTCACATGGCCACACTCAACTGCAAGGAAGACTGGGAAATGTAGTCCAGTCATGTGCCCAAGAGTAAATGGAAACAGGTTCATGTGAACACACAGCATCTCTGCCACATGGTCAAGTCCTTTGTTAGTGATGGCACCAGGGTTGGGGTTAGACGTGGGATTGGGACTGGAGTCAGATCTGGAGTTGGAGTTTGGGAGCTTGGGGTTATCGATGCGTCAGGTTAGGGTAAGATTTAGGTTGAGATTTGGTGCCAGGATTGGAGTGAAGTCAGATCCAGGGTTGGGAGTTGGGATTTTGGGTCAGGGATGGTGACAGAATTACATGTGGAGTCACAGATGGAGACAAGCTCAGGCTGGGGACCAGAGTTAGAGCTGTGTTGGTGCTGAGCTTGGAAAAAAGATCAACTGGCTTTGGGGAAATAAATGAACTCAGGGCCAGGTTGTAGATGGATCTGGGTCCAAGAAATCGGGTATCCTCCCCTTTCCTTACCACCCCAAACACACTCTAGAACGTTTCCAGAGCTTGGGTGTAGGGACCAGGCCTGTACCCTCAAGGATGTTGGTGGTGATGATAATAAATAAAATAACATCTACTGGATATTTGTTTGGTCGTAGGCACTGTTCTAAGCACTTCATGTGAATTAACTCATTTAACTGTCCCAAAAGGAGCCCTGGTGGCACAGTGGTTAAACGCCCAGCTGCTAACCAAAAGTTCGGGAGTGTGAACCCACCAGCCACTCCAGAGGATAAAGATGTGGCAGTCTGCTTCCGTAAAGATTAAAGCCTTGGAAACCCTGTGAGGCAGTTCTGCTCTGTCCTACAGGCTCACTATGAGTCAGAATTGACTCGACAGCAAGGGGTTTTCTTAGTTTAACTCTCACAGCCACTCTATATGAGGTAGATACTGTTATTGTGCCCATTTTACAGATATGGAAACTGAGGCACAGAGAGGATAAGGCATTGCCCAAGATCACACAGCCCCAGCATCTGAACCCCAGAGTCTATCGTCTCAACTTCATGGGCCAGCTCCCGAGGGCTGGATCTCCAGACTTGGGGGAGAGGGTGGGGAAGCTGGGAGAGGGCACCAAGAGGCTTCCCAGAGAACAGACAGGACTTCTTGTATGGGAACAGGGAGTGAGGGAATCGCAGGCCCCGTGAGGCCTCTGTGGAGTCTAACTGCTATCCCTCATGCTGCAGGTGACGGGGACAGGAAGCTGACAGCCGAGGAGGAGGAGGCGCGGAGGATAGCAGAGATGGGCAAGCCAGTTCTTGGGGAAAACTGTCGGCTGGAGGTCATAATCGAGGAGTCATATGATTTTAAGGTGATTTTTCTGGGGCATTGCCTTCCTGGAGTCATTTCCTTGGGGAGGGTCCTGGAGAGGAGGAGCCATGAGGGTCACAAGGACTGGGTGACCACAGGGCAGAGGACAGCCTCCGGGTCCCACTATCAGCACCGCGGACAGCACACACCTCCCTTCTTGCTAGGGTCCCTGGGTGGGTCAAATGGTCTGCGATCCACTGCTAACATAAAGGTTGGCAGTTCGAACCCACCCAGCAGCAACTGTGTAAAAAAGGCCTGGCCATCTGTTTCCGTAAAGATTAAAGCCAAGAAAACCCTATGAAGCAGTTCTACCCTGTCACACATGGGGTCGCCATGCATTGGAATCAACTTGACGGCCATGGGTTTGGTTTGGTTTTAGTAGAACTGGGCATGGAAGATTGAAGACCTCTGAGAAGGAGGTGTGAGTCCCCAGCCCAGCACCTCTCATGAAGCTGCCCTGGGGTGCCCATGAGCAGTGCTCTCTCCCCCTCCCATCCTTTCGCCCCCAGAATACGGTGGATAAACTCATCAAGAAGACGAACTTGGCTTTGGTGATTGGGACCCATTCGTGGAGGGAGCAGTTTTTAGAGGCAATTACGGTGAGCGCAGGTAAGTGGGGAGGGAGGAGAGAGCAGAAAAGAGAAAGATGGAGAGAGAGAGAAAAAACTAGAGAGGGAAGGGAAGGGAAAGGAAGGAATAAAAAAGAAGAGAAAGCGAGAAAGACATAGAAGGAGGCATAGGGAGAGTGAGCAGGAGGTGAACAGACAGACAAAGACAGAGAGGGAGAAATATGAATTACAAGACAGAGAAAGGGAGAGACAGTGACAGAGGAAGAAGGGGAAGAGAAACGGAGTGAAAGACAGAGACAGAGAAGAGGGACAGAAGACACACAGGGAAACAGATGGAAAGATAAATACAGAGAAAGAGACAGAAAGACAAAGGAAAAGACAGGAAACAGGTCCAAACACGGAGAGACAGAGACACAGAGAGACTGAGACACAGAGAAAAAATGAGAGACATAGGAAATGAACAGCCAGTGAACAGAGAGGACCTGAGAGGGGACAGAGAGCCATCAGAACACACAGAGAGAAAGGCACATGAGACAGGAGCAGAGACAGAGAGAGCCGAGGGGAGGAGGCTGGTTTTTTGGGAGCTGGGCTGAGGGGAGGAGGGGACCTGGCCTGGGCTTCCTCCCTGTGTCAGATGTTGGGGGGTAGGGGGCAGGTAAAATGGTGTGGCCACCCCAGATGGAGCCTGGCCTCCTCTGTTGCCACAGAGACAGTCACCATGGCACCCAGCGCTCTCCCACCTGTGTGGTTCCCACCTCCTTTAGCCTCAGACGGGCCCACAATGCCCCCCTGTGGCCAGAGACACTATGACACTTGGATTCACTGATTGAATCTTGGAGCCCAACGCTGGGCCCTTGTGAGACAGATTGGGGAAACTGAGGCTCAGAGACAGAGAGGGACTGGCCTGAGGTCCCACGGGGAGTCCAGAAAGGGCCAGAGTTGGAACTCAGAGATTTTGATCTTTACATGACATCAAGTTTTCCGTAGGGAGGCCCAGGGGAGACCAGCTGGTGGGGACTGAAAACACAGGAGAAATTGTGGTTGGAAAGAAATTGGTGGGTGGGATCTACAGAAACCAGCCTTCGGAGATGGAGAGATGCCAGGTAGCAGGCCTGGAGACACCAGGGGGCAGGCCTAATAATATGAGATGACATTTTCCTCTGAAGCCACATTGTTTTGACATATATTTCTGGGAGATCCTCTGTGCCCGGCCCTATGAAGGACATTGATGGGGACACAGTGGTGACCAAGACATCCCTGGCCATATCCTCCCGTCCTTGGGATGACAGTCTGGTAGGGGAGACTGACCTATACCCAGACAGTGAGGACCCGGAGCGGGGGAATCTCAGGGAGCCACGGGAGCCCAGGGGGAGGAGGTGCCTGACCCCACCTGGAAGTCAGGGAGGGCTTCCTGGAGGAGGGAGCATCTGAGCTGAGTCTTCAAATGGGAATAGAAGTTAACCAGGAGGAGGGAGATGACAGGGAGGGTGTTTAGGCAGAGGGCAAGCCAAGAACAAAAATCTGGAAATGTGAAAGCTTCTGGCATATTAAGGAGCGCTGGTGGCACAGTGGTTAACTACTCAGCAGCTAACCAAAAGGTTGGTGGTTCGAACCCACCCAGTGGCTCTGTGGGAGAAAGACCTGGCGATCTGCTCCTGTAAAGATTGCAGCCTAGGAAACCCTATGGGGCAGTTCTACTCTGTCCTATAGAGTTTCTATGAGTCAGAATCGACAGCACCCAGCAGCAACAACATGGCACCTTTGGGGAAGGGTGACTAGTCCCGGGTGTGGGGAAGAGGCAGGGGTTGAGGCTGGCAGACCGCAGGTCCTTACCAGTCACAGAAGGGAGCTTGGGTGTCATCCTGAGTGTGCTAGGGAGCTATGGGGGATTTTTGAGTGGAATAGAATCACAGGGCAAAAGAAAGCTTCTGGAAGGAAAAGCCAGAGGATGGGCTGTGGTTTGAGTTGAGGCTGTTACAGCTGGTACGGAATGGGCCACGCAGAATCTCTTTGAATGTTGTGGGGAACTTGAGCTTTATTCTGAGAACAGCGTGGAGCTGGAGAAGGGGCTCTTCGAGCGTTAGAACAGTCCCTCTGGGGGTTTAGCTGAGCTAGAGGGTGGAGTAAAACCAAAAGTGTAGGCATGAGATGGTCAAACTAAAATTGGGCCACGCTGTCCCTTCTGGCTTCCCTGCTTCCTCTTTCTTCCTGCCTGGAACATAGTCTTGATGCCTGGAGGTGCAGCAGCCATACTGTAACTATTAGGGCAAAAACTGAGAATGGGAAGGAGAAATAAAGAAGGAGCCTGGGCTCTTGATGTCATTAGTGAGCTGCTGCACCAACTCCTTACTGCCTCCTGCTTGAGCTTTCTTATGAGAACAGTGGAGAGCAGGAGAAGGGGCTCTTTGAGTGTTAGAACATTTCCTCTGGGGGTTTAGCTGAGCTAGAGGGTGGAGCAAAACTGAAAGTGTAGGCAAGAGATGATCATGGAGGCACAACCTATATCCAGCTGTGGTTTGATAGGAACCAGGTGATTGGCTCAGAGGAAGTATTGGAGTGGAGGCAGGATAACAGTAAGGATGATAATAGTAACAGTAATAATAATCATGATGGTGGTGAGGACGATGATGATGATGATGATGATGAAGAAGATGGTGGTATTAACATGCTCTGGCTACTTTAGGGGATAAATCATGTCCCATCTTGCACTTAGAGGTGCTTTCGTATTTCCTTTACCTCCCTTCCTGGACTGTAAGCTCCTTGCAGGCTGGACTTGGATTCAAGCATCTTTGAATTCTCCCAAGCACCAAAAAGAGCTGTCAATAATATCAACCACAACAATAACAATAGCACTTGAGATGTGCCTGGCACTGCTGAGAACACATTCCATGGACTGAATCATTTAATCGTTACAACCGTCTCTGGAGGCAGCTTCAATTATTCCTCTCGCTTCTCAGATAAGCACCCTGAGACTCAGAGAGGTCAAGATGCTCATTTAAGAGCACACAGCTGACAGGTAGCAGATCCAGGGTTTGACTCCAGAGAGGTGGCACCAGAACCACAGGCATACTAGCCACATGCTCCCTCTAGAGGGGAGAAGCTGGAGATGTAAGCAGAGCCCTGCAGGACCTTGAATGCCCAGCCCAGGAATGCAGCTTGAGTCTGAGGGCAGTAGGGAGCCACAGCAGGATTTGAAGCAGGGCAGGGAGAAGCCCCAAGAGATGCAGTGATAGCAGCCCCTCCATCCCAAGAGTGTAGCCTCCCCTGCTCTGACCTGGGCTGTGTCTCACTCTGGTTCAGGTAGAAATGCATTCAGCAACAAGCAACAGAAAATTCAACCACAAGTGGCTTAAGCTCACAGGAGTTTTTCTCGTGGAACCAAAAAAAAAAAAAAAAAAAAAATCTGTAGGAGGCAATAAGGAGTTGGTACAGCAGCTCAGTAATGTCACTGAGAGCCCAGGCTCCTTTATTTCTCCTTCCCATTCTCAGCTTTTGCCCTCATGGTTGCAACATGGCTGCTGCACCTCTAGGTATGAAGTTTATATTCCAGGCAGGAAGAAAGAGGAAGCAGAGAAGCCAGAAGGGACAATGTGCCCCAATTTTAGTTTCAAATTCCATTTTCCTTGGGTTGCAGCAAAAACCTCAGTCTCTGAGATGTAGCATGCAGGAGCACAACCCAGAAACCACACAAACCATTCACTTAAGCCTTTACACATTCAAGCATTTATTTCTTTAACAAGCTAAGTGGCTCAGAGAGCTAGAAAAGGGGGAAAGAGGCATCGGACCTGAGTCCCTGATTTGGTCAGTCTCTTTCCCTGCCACCAGGTGGCCTCTGCTGGCTGATATTCTGATGGTTCTTGGAGAGGAGAATTCAGATTGCTCCATAGGAAGAGGCTGGATAGTATATAGTGTTGCTCTGAGTGGTCCGAGGTCACAAGATTTCTTACCAGTGTCCTAGATTCACTGCTTGGCACACACAAGTGTGTTCACTGCTTCCCACTCGCCTTATGCTTATCATTTTAGGGCAAGATTTAAGAAGTATTTCATTCACACATGCCCTTTCAAACGACACAAGCAAGTCAAAAGCAGATTAAGTTAGGTCACAATAGATTACACAAACAACTCCGAGTTTGAGGCATCCTTTACAAAGCTGAATACACACATCCATAACACAGTGCCCATATCAGGAAAGCAGAAGCTTTCCAGAAACCCTCTATGTATGTCTCATTGCCAGATTGGGTCACGTGGCCACTGCTGCAAGGGGTCCTGGGAAAGCAAGTGTTTAGCTGAGGACGTAGCCACCCCTAACTGCAAGGAGTTCTGGGAAAGTGGTTGTTTTTATCCAGGGGCATGACTATCTCCAATTGCAGGGGATTCTGGAAAGTGAGTAGTGAGTATCTTTACCTGGGCACATGGCTACCGCTAGCTGCAATGAATCTGAGAAACTGAATATTTTTAGCTGAGTATATGGTTATTGCACATGCAAGGGCCTCTGGGAAAAGTAATATTTTTAGCTAGGATATGGGCACCCCTGGTTGCAAGGGATTCTGGGAAAGTGAATATTTTTATCTAGGGACATGGTTATTGTTCGCTCCAAAGAATTCTGGGAAAATTAGTATTTTTATTTGAGGACATAGCTGTTTATAGCTGCAAAGGATTCTGGGAAAGTGAGTATCTTTAGCTGGGCATATAGTTACTACTAGCTGCAATGAATCTGAGAAACTGAATATTTTTAGCTGAGTTCATGACTATTGCTATTTGCAGGGGCTTCTGGGAAAAGGAATATTTTTAGCTAGAGATATAGCTACCTGTCGCTGCAAGGGGTCCTGGGAAGCTGGATATATTTATCTCAGTGCATGGCCTCCTCTAGCTTCAAGGCATTCTGGGAAAGTAAATATTTTTACCTGGGCACATACACTCCTAGCTGCAGGGGTTTCTGGGAAAGTAAATATTTTTAGCTGCTGATATGCCACAGCTACCTTCAAAGGATTCTGGGAAAGCAATTATTTTTATGGGACTCACTGTCTGGAAGGAAAATCAAATGGAAGCTCTGTAGGTGAGGCAGAAGGAGGCCTGGGTGTGTGCCTCAGCTGAGTCATGTGCCCGCAGGGGACGAGGAGGAGGAGGAAGATGGGTCTCGGGAGGAGCGGCTGCCGTCCTGCTTTGACTACGTGATGCACTTCCTGACGGTGTTCTGGAAGGTGCTGTTTGCCTGCGTGCCCCCCACCGAGTACTGCCATGGCTGGGCCTGCTTTGGTGTCTGCATCCTGGTCATTGGCCTGCTCACCGCCCTCATCGGGGACCTCGCCTCCCACTTTGGCTGCACTGTTGGCCTCAAGGACTCTGTCAACGCTGTTGTCTTCGTGGCCCTGGGCACCTCAATCCCTGGTAACACCCCGGGGGGACTGCTTGTTGGGGCAGGGTCTCAGAGGCGCCAGGCAGGGGGCACCTTGGAAGCAAGGTAATGGAGCATAAGAGAAAGATCGTTGGTGGCATCATAGAGAAGCCATATAGTGGGTTCCATAGAAACAAGGTGGTGGGGCATAGTAGAAATGAGGCAGAGGGATGTCTCATAGATTCCATATGCAAACCTCCTCCCTGAAAGAAACCAGGTGGAATGTCCCATAGAACTAAGGCGGTGGGGAATGGTAGAAACCAGACAACCAATTCCATAGAATTGGGCATTGAAGAGATAGGTGTTGGGAGAGAGGTCCCTTAGAAATAAGGTGGGGATTTGATAGAAACCATTCAGTGGGTTCCCAGGAAACAAGATGCTACTACTTACCCCTACGAAACCAGATGGAAGGTTTCCATGCAAACATGTTGGTGGGTCATGACAGCAACCAGGCCAATGAATCTCAAAGAACTAAGATGATGGGGCAGAGTCAGAATCAGATGTTGGAGGAGGGGCGCCATAGAAATAAGGCAGCGGGGACTCAGAAACCATAGAGTATGTCCGTAGAGACACACTGGCCATGATCCCCCTCCAAAAACAAACCTGAGGGAGGGTCCCTTAGAAATAAGGTTGCAGAAATTGACATTCTTGCAGGGGTGGGAAGATGGGGGTGGTAGGGCCTGACACCCCTGCTTTCCATATCAATGCTAAGCAGATGGTGGCACTACAGAGATAGGACTAGAAAGCAGGCAGCGGGGATGAGGTGTCTTGCCCATGGTTTTCTGGTGCCCACTTTCCACACCAGAGACTTTGGCTGGCAAGATGTTTCAGGACTGGGTGGAGGCCATAGGGACCAGGCTGGACACCTGAGAGAAATTCAGGGGGAGAGGCAGGAAACGGATTGCATATAGATGGGGCCTGACACTCATCTTGTCCAGCCAAGTGCCCCTGGGATGATTGGACCCCTAGCAAAACAGGCTGTGGGTCCATGGAAAGCAGGTAATGAGGTCCATAGAAAAGAGGCAGTGAGTCCCACAGAGAGCAGACAGTGGATCCCATAGAATGCATACAAGTCCCATAGAAAGCAGGCAGTGAGTCCCATAGAAAGCAGGCAGTGAGTCTCATAGAAAGCAGGCAGTGAATTCCATAGAAAGCAGGCATCGGGTCCCCTAGAATGCGGACAGTGGGTCTCATAAAAATCAGGCAATGAATCACATAGAAAAAAGCAGGCGGTGAGTCCCACAGAAAGCAGTCAGTGAGTCCCAGAGAAAGCAAGCAGCAGGTCCCAGAGAAAGCAGGCAGCAGGTCCTAGAGAAAGCAGGCAGCAGGACCCATAGAAATCAGGCAGCGGCTCCCATAGAAATCAGGCAGTGAGTCCATAAAAATCAGGCAGTGAATCCCAGAGAAAGTAGGCAGTGAGTCCCAGAGAAAGCAGGTAGTGGGGCCCCTAGAATGCAGACAGTGGGTCTCATAAAAATCAGGCAATGAATCTCATAGAAAGCAGGCGGGGAGTCCCGCGGAAAGCGGGCAGTGGATCCCATAGAATGCAGACAAGTCCCATAGAAAGCAGGAAGTGAATTCCAGACAAAGCAGGCAGCAGATCCAATGGAAGGCAGACAAGTCCCATAGAAAGCAGACAGCTGATCCTGTAGAGAGCAGCCGGAGCGATGGTTGACAGACTTTGCATTGGACGGGATCAAGGCCTTAGGCCCTCGGTGTCTGCCCGGAGCTGCAGGAATAGGGGCGAGGCCTTCAGAAGCAGGCCTTGATGGTAGTTACACCGGCACTGGGCCATCTAGGGATGGGGGCCGGGTGTTGGGTCTGATGGAAAGCAGGCGACGTGGCAGGGTGGATGTCACCCTCTGCCGGGGGGGAAACGCGGCGCCCCTCTGACCCACTGTGCCCTTGCTCCCGCAGACACGTTCGCCAGCAAGGTGGCGGCGCTGCAGGACCAGTGCGCCGATGCGTCCATCGGCAACGTGACGGGCTCCAACGCGGTGAACGTGTTCCTGGGCCTGGGCGTGGCCTGGTCGGTGGCCGCCGTGTACTGGGCGGCGCAGGGCCGCTCGTTCGAGGTGCGCACGGGCACGCTGGCCTTCTCTGTCACGCTCTTCACCGTCTTCGCCTTCGTGGGCATAGCTGTGCTGCTGTACCGCCGCCGGCCACACATCGGCGGGGAGCTGGGTGGCCCCCGCGGCCCCAAGCTCGCCACCACCGCGCTCTTTCTAGGGCTTTGGTTCCTCTATATCCTCTTCGCTAGCCTGGAGGCCTACTGCCACATCAGGGGCTTCTAGGACCCCCGGGCTCGGCCCCTCCCCGGAGACTCTCCCCAAGCAGACTTGGCTGCACCTGATCTGGACCAGCTCCTTGTTCCTCCGGGACTCGGCCTCCGCCCCTGGGACGCAGCCTTCTTCCTCCCCAAAGACTCGGCCTCTTCTGCACGGACACTCAGCCTGCCTCTCCTGAGAGTCACGCTCCTTCTCCCCCAAAGATTCAGCCTCTCTTTCGCCTGGGATTTAACCTCCCTTATCCTTCTCCAAGTGGGAGCCCTGGTGGCACAGTGGTTTAGAGCTATGGTTGCTAACCGAAAGGTCGGCGGTTGGACGCTATGAGTCGGAATCCACTTGATGGCAACGGGTTTGGTTTTTGTTTTATCCTTCTCCAGGAGCACTGGTGGTGCAAACAGTTAAAGCGCTCTGCTACTAACCTAAAGGTTGGCAGTACGAATGCACCTAGCGGCACCACAGAAGAAAGGCCTGGCGATCTGCTTCTGTAAAGATTGCAGCTAAGAAAACCCTGTGAGCAGTTCTACTCTGTAACACATGCGGTCGTCATTAGGCGGAATCGACTCAACAGCAGCTAATAACAACAACAGTCTTTCTCCCCCCGAAGTCCCTGGGTGGTGCAAACAGCACTCGCTGCCAACCAAAAGGTTGGTGGTTTGAATCCACCCAGAGGTGCCTCGGAATCTACTTCTGGAAGATCACAGCCATTGAAAACCTTGTGGAGTGTAGTTCTACTCTGACACACATGGGGTCGCCATGAGTCGGAGTCGACTCCACGGGCAACTGATTTGGGATTTTTGGTTTATTCTCCCCCAGAATCCCAGCATCCCCGCCTGACCTTTAAAAGCCTCCTGAGTCCCTCCTCAGAGGTGACCACCTCTGCAACGACTTCCAACTCCAAATTTCCACTTCCAAGTCCCTCCTCAGAAAATACCCTCCCCACCAGTGACACTTCCTCTGACTAAAGAATCTTCCATCCCTTTTCCCGGACACTTAGCCTTGCTCCATCCCATAAACCCCCACTTCCTCTGGAGAACCCACCCCAGGCCCGAGCCCTGGGGTCTTAGAACTTACCCCTCCCATCCATCATCCCAGGCCAGCACAGATCTCTGCCCTTCCCCCCAGCCCTCAGGGAGCTCTGTTCAGCCCCGGGGGATGGGGGGTCGGACAAGCAGGTGGGCGCTTGCACAGGGGGGCACACCCGCCCTGATCTCTCCACTCAGGCTCTGGGGGCTTGGAGAAAGGAGGAGAGAAGTTTGGGACCTCAGTCCTAAGACTTTGATGGAGAGGCACATTTTGAATTTGCAACTTCTCACATTCCAGCACCCCCCACTCCCGCTCCCCCTCCACTACCTCTGAGAGCCCAGCCAAGCCTTGGAGGGAGGGGCCTGTGTGTATATAGTGTGTTTGGGGGAGGGAGGCCGCGGGAGGGTGCATGTCTTGGGGAAGGGGAATGACAGACTTTCCTTTCAAGAGGGCAGCAGACTCTCACAGCTGCGAGAATCGGCTTTGGGCAGGGGGCGGGGAATCAAAGGGAGTCCAGCCGATCTCCCCTGACAGTCTAGAAGGTTTATTTTGCCCTCAGTGCCAGCCAATCCGGGCAGAATCCTCGAAGAGGAGCCCGAGGGTCCCAGAGGACCCATGCTACAAGCCAGC